GGAAACGGGAGACGATAAAGGTTGAAGACGTACCAATAATACGGAAATTCATAGATGTGTTTCCAGAAGATCTATCTGGTATTCCACCAAATAGGCAAGTGAAATTCACCATAGACCTAACTCTCGGAGCAGCACCAGTGTCAAAAGCCCCATACCGAATGGCCCCTAAGGAACTACAAGAGTTAAAGAAGCAGTTGCAAGAACTCCTAGATATGGGCTTTATACAGCCAAGTGTATCTCCATGGGTGCGTCAGTGTTGTTCGTGAAGAAAAAGGATGGAAGCATGAGGATGTGCATCAATTATAGGGACTTAAAATCGATTAACTATCAAGGATAAGTACCCACTCCTGAGAATTGAGGATCTGTTAGATCAACTGAAAGGAGCTAAGGTATTTTCCATGATCGACTTATGATTGAGATACCATCAATTGAAAGTAAAGTCAAAGGATATACCCAAGACAGCTTTTAGAACTCGATATGGACACTACGAGTTTACACTGATGCCGTTTGGGCTAACCAATGCACCTGCAGTGTTCATGGACCTGATGAATCGTGTATTTCATCAATACTTGGATAAATTTGTCATAGTCTTCATTGATGACATTTTGATATATTCCAAGAGTAAGGAGCAACATGAAGAGCACCTAAGAATAGCATTAGAGGTATTATGCAAGGAGAAGCTGTATGCCAAATTCAAGAAGTGTGAGTTCTGGCTTGAACGAATTGGATTTCTTGGACATATAGTCACTGCCCAAGGGATTGAGGTAGATCCAGTGAAAGTGGAAGCAGTAACCAACTGGGAAGCATCAACTAATGCTGGTGAGGTACGAAGCTTTCTAGGATTAGTAGGATATTATCGAAGATTCGTAGAAGGATTCTCCAAAATAACTGGACCAATGACGCAGCTTGCAAGGAAGGGAGTAAAATTCCAATAGACGGATAAATGTGAACAAAGTGTCCAAGAATTTAAACAGAGGTTGATATCAGCACCCATGTTAACAATACCTGAGGGTGCGGAAGGGTTTGTTATATACAGTGATGCATCCAAGCAAGGATTCGGATGTGTGCTGATGCAGAATAGAAAAGTGATAGCTTATGCTTCAAGACAATTGAAGAAACATGAGCAGAACTACCTGACGCATGATTTAAAACTTGCGGCGGTAGTACACGCCTTGAAGATATGACGACACTACTTGTATGGAGGGAAGTGCGATATCTACACAGATCACAAGAGTCTCAAATATTTATTCATACAGAAGGAATTGAATATGCGACAAAGACGATGGTTAGAATTTGTGAATGATTACGATTGTACTATCCATTACCATTCAGGTAAGGCTAATGTTGTGGTCGACGCCTTAAGTAGAAAATCAATGGGATAGTTGGCGTCACTACCCACTTTTCAAGTGGAGTTAGTTAAGGACTTGGAAAAGTTGCAGATCGAAGTGGTTACCATACCAGGACAAGTCACTGCTCACTAGCAGCTTTAATATTTCGATCTACTCTTAGAGATTGAATTATAGAGACACAAGGTAATGACCCATTCTTGTTGAAGATCAAGAATGAAATTGGTACTGATAAGAGAAAGGATTTTGGAATAGTTTTGGATTAGGCACTAATGTTTAAGGGAAGAATTTGTGTGCCTAAGGATGAAGCCTTGAGAAATGAGATATTGAAAGAGGTCCATTCCACCCCGTACACCGCACATCTCGATGGTACAAAAATGTATCTAGACCTCCGAGATACATTTTGGCGGAGAAATATGAAAAGAAGTATAGGGTTGTACGTGGAAAAGTGCATGGTATGTTAACAGGTTAAGGTAGAACACCAAAGATCGACTGGATTGTTAAATCTACTGGACATACCCGAATGGAAATGGGAAAATATCAAAATGGACTTTGTGGTTGGATTTCCGAAGTCGGCAAGAGGAAATAATGCTGTATGGGTAATAGTGGATCGATTAACAAAGTCAGCTCATTTTCTTCCAGTGAAAATTACATTCAGTTTAGACCAATTTGCATAGTTGTACATTAAGGAGGTTGTCAGATTACACAGCGTACTTGTGTCCATTGTGTCTGAGAGAGACCCAAGGTTTACGTCCAAATTTTGGAAAAATCTACAAGGAGCTATGGGAACGAAGCTGAACTTTAGTACAGCATATCATCCTCAGTCTGATGGTCAATCTGAAAGGACCATCCAAACTTTGGAAAACATGCTGAGAGTATGTGTTTTGGATCTAGGGAGTAGTTGGTAGTCATACATACCCCTAGTAGAATTCGCATATAATAACAGCTTCCAAGCAACTATAGGGATGGCACCGTACGAAGCTCTTCATGGTAGAAGATGTAGGTCTCCTGTTCATTGGGATGAAGTCGAGGAGAAGAGAGTTTTGGGACCAGAAATAATTGAAAGGACAGTTGAGGTAATCGATAAGATCCGTGCAAGGATAAAGGCAGCACAGGATCGACAAAAGAGCTATGCAGATACAAGGAGGATATATATACATATCAACGCACAAAAAATCGACATTTTTGGGAGGAGAGGCCATATCACATACCAACGTATAGAAATCAGAGCAAGGACTCCCTTTTCTTTGGTCAAATTTAGTGGCTGTTTAATTTTTATTTTGCAAGATATATACAGAAGTTGCGGCAGTTTTGGAAGACAGAAGTGGCGGCTATACACACACACACACACATGCAAACAATTAGAAGAAAGTTGCTCGAGGGAATACACGTAGACACCAACTGCAAATTCACGTTGCAAAAATTTAATCGTGTTCCGTCAATTCTTGGTAATGTCTTCTATAATTTCTTGTTTTTCTCTCATTAATATGCGTAGCTAAATTTAATTTTAGAGCAAATAATGTAACTGATTTGAGACCTTTATTTCTTTTATTTAAGATTTTTGTTCTTTTATATTTTATATGTGGATTTTAATTATGTCCGTAATGCTTTGAATTTTCTGGCCAATTATTCAATAATTTTGTGAACAATAATTACGTAGAGATGTGGATTCTTGTTTAGACCACATATTAAAATTCGGTAAATTAATGTGATATGTAAAGATACCTATATTAATTGCTACGGTCCTATAGAAATTTTTAGAACTGTTGTTTCGTTTAATTAAATTTAATTTGCATAGATATAAGGAATTAAACTAATTAAATAGACTTAACAAAAACTCGAGAGGGGTAAGTTGAATACGATAGAAGAATTCGAACGAACACTACTTTAATTTTATGAATCTTGATATTAGAAGTAAAGGTGACCAATAGGTGAATTTGTTCTGCCCTAATCTCCATTTATTATTTGAATTCTCACTAATTTTCTGTTGCATTCACGAAATTTTTAGTAGTTAGATTTAAAAACACAGTTAATCATTTTTTTTTTGTCAAATAGAAGTCAGAAATAATAAATTGAGTATTAAAATATAGTCATCGTGGGAACGATAATCCGGACTTAAAAGGTTCACTGTGCTACTTGTTATGATCTATCTACTTGCGAGATAAAATTGACAACAAGTTTTTGGTGTCGTTACTGAGGACTATTACCTTTTAGCCTTAATTTATTTTTATTTTTAATTGTTATTTGACTTGTTTATTTTCTTTTATTTACAGAAAAAAGTGTTCGTTGTATGTTCCGTACCCAAGGTGATGATCTTGAATTGTTTGATTCAAAAATAGAACGTACCTTCAGACGAAGATGCATGGAACACAAACCAAAATAGCAACATCAAATGACTGACAATCTAAACAACCCTATCCCTATACAGCCAATTGCACATATGGCTACGAGAGATCAACAACAAGAGCAAAGGGAAGTAAATAAAGGAGACTTGCTTGTTTCTATGTTTTTTACGCCTATAACAGAACCCGCACGGTCTAGCATAATACATCCAGATTTTGGGATAAACAACTTCTAGATACGCGCTAACTGGATTAATTTGATGAGCAACACTTTGCAATTCTACGGGCTACCCCATGAGAATCCAAACACAAATATATCCAGATTTCTCAGGAATTGCCGAAATTGACATGCTCTCGATGTTAATGAGGACGACAGCAAGTTGCGATTATTCCCATATACACTAAGAAATGTAGCATTGGAATGGCTAGATGCCGATCTTGATGGAAGTATTACCAAATGGGAGGAAATAACCAGAAAATTCTGCAATAAGTTCTTTCCACCAGCTAAAGTAGTAAAAATTAGATTATAAATTCAAACTTTTCAACAAAGAGATGGAGAGAGCTATCACGAGGCATGGAAAAGATTTAAGGAGTTGATGAGGAAGTGTCCAAATTATGGGATCACAATTGGAAATCAAGTGCAGTATTTCTACACGGGACTTTCACAACCATCCAAATCTCAAGTAGATTTCTCTGCAAGTGGATTGATCATAGAGAAATCAGTGCAACAATGTATGGATTTGTTTGAGTTGATTGCTACAACTCACTCTATATTTTCGTCAGAAAGAGTGGTGCCTCCAAAAGCAGTGGACATATATGATTTGGATAGCACAACATCTACCAATGCCCAAATAGCAGCATTAACAAAACAGGTAGAGTTATTGGTGAAGTCAAAAACAAAGGAAGCATATACAGTGATAACTAGCCCATCCTGCGAAAACTACAGGGCAAATCACCTAACAGAAAATTACACATTTATGGGCTTTTCGGAGGAACAAGTCAACTTCATTTAAAATGGCTCTCGAAATTTTAAATTCTTTTCACAAACACACAACTCGAGATGGAGACAACACTCAAACTTCAGATGATCGGATAATCAGCAAGGGAATAGTTCAAATAATGCACAACAGGAGAAAAAACCAAGTTTGGGGAAGATGTTCAACCAATACATACAAAAGACAGACAAGTGTTCCAGCAGATTGACACTAACTTTCAGAATTAGTAAGCATCCATTGAGAAACTGAAAACTCAAATTGGTCAGATAACTTAACAGCTTTCAGAATGCCCAAAAGGGATATTGTCAGGCAACACAATGGTCAATCCAAAAGAGCAAGTTCAAGCTATTACAACTAGAAGTGGGTTGCAACTTCCAGAGATTCATGTGAAGAGACCAGACAGAAAAGACAAAGAGGTAATGGGTAAAAAGATTGGGACAAAAGCAGAGTCTGAACAACCAACTAACGAGGAGGATAAAATGAAAGAAACACCCACAGTGAGAGCACCCAACCCTGTGAAAGATTATGTGCCACCAATTTCATTTTCTCAAACATTACAGAGAAAGAAATTGGACAAGCAGTTTGCCAAGTTTGTGAAGATTTTCAAGAAACTGCACATCAATATTTCATTTGCAGATGAAATAGCCCAAATGCCCAGCTATGCAAAATTCTTGAAAGAGATCCTATCTAATAAAAGAAAGATGGAAGAACATGAGACTGTCTGCCTGAACGAGAAGTGCAGTGCAATTCTATTGAAAAAGCTACCTCATAAACTAAAAGACCCAGGGAGTTTCACGATACCTTGCACAATTGGGTCTAATTATTTTGAGCATTCTTTATGTGATTTGGGTGCCAGTGTTAACCTTATGCCTCTCTCTGTTTACAGGTCTCTTGGATTAGGAAAAACAAAGCCTACAACCATCTCTTTGCAACTGGCTGACAAATCGATCAAACGACCAAAGGAGATTATTGAAGATGTGCTAGTCAAAGTTGACAAATTTATCTTTTCGACTGACTTCATTATTTTGGACATGGGGAAAGACTTAAACATTCTTCTGATCTTAGGAAGACTCTTTTTGGCTACTGGAAGAGTACTGATTGATGTTTATGATGGAAAGATGATTTTTTGGATGGACAATGAGCAAGTTATATTTAACGTGTTCAAGGCAATGAAACATCCATTGACTTCCGACACTTTTTGCCAAATAGATGTTTTTGAAAAACTTGTGGCAGATGCATTTGAGACAGAGCATCACACAAATCTTTGTGAGGTGGAACTTGTGCAAGGAAAAGCTGAATGTGTTGTTAACTTGGTCGACCAACCAATAAGAAGAAGACATTGGCAGTATGAATCTCTTGGCGACAACCTTTCACCCTCAGTACCTTCAGTAGAAAAGACACCCACTCCTGAACTAATTTGACTTCCGACACTTTTTGCCAAATAGATGTTTTTGAAAAACTTGTGGCAGATGCATTTGAGACAGAGCATCACACAAATCTTTGTGAGGTGGAACTTGTGCAAGGAAAAGCTGAATGTGTTGTTAACTTGGTCGACCAACCAATAAGAAGAAGACATTGGCAGTATGAATCTCTTGGCGACAACCTTTCACCCTCAGTACCTTCAGTAGAAAAGACACCCACTCCTGAACTAAAATCCTTGCCTTCACATCTTCATTATGCATATTTGGGAGACTCCACAACACTTCCAGTAATCATCGCGAATGATATGACAAGGGAAGAGGAGAATAAATTGTTGGAGGTACTTAAGCAGCGCAAAACAACAATTGGATGGACAATAGCTGACGTCAGAGAAATCAGTCCAATTCTTTGTATGCACAAGATTTTAATGGAAGATGGGTCAAAGCCATCAGTCGAAGGACAATGCAAATTAAATCCAACCTTGAAAGAAGCAATGCGAAAAGAAGTGTTGAAATTATTGGATGCAGGTATTATCTATCACATCTCTGATAGTTCATGGGTGAGTCCAGTGCATGTTGTGCCTAAAAATGGTGGAATCACAGCGGAGAAGAATGAGTTGATACCAACACGGTTAGTGACAGGGTAGAGAGTATGTATAGATTACAGAAAGCTAAACAATGCAACCAGAAAAGATCATTTTTCATTGCCATTCATTGATCAGATGTTGGAAAGGTTGGCAGATCATTCTCATTATTGCTTTCTGGACGGATATTCTGGGCACAATCAGATAGTTACTGTTCTATAAGACCAAGAGAAACAACCTTCACACGACACTATGGAACTTTTGCATTTAGAAGGATGCCTTTCGGTCTATGCAACGCACCCGCAACCTTTCAACGGTGCATGATAGTCATATTCTATAACATGGTCAAAAAATACATCGAGGTATTCATGACTGATTTCTCAGTGTTTGGGGACTCTTTTGATGATTGCTTGGAATGACTATCGCTTGTATTACAACGATGTGAAGAAAAGAATTTGGTGCTCAATTGGGAAAAGTGCCACTTTATGGTGAATGAGGGGATAGTGCTGGGCCACAAGATTTTCTCAAAGGATATTGAAGTTGACAAAGCCAAGATACAAGTGATTGAAAAATTGCAGCCTCCTAATTTAGTTAAGGGGATCAGAAGCTTCTTAAGACATGCAAGGTTTTACAGAATGTTCATTCAAGATTTCTCAAAAATTACAAAATTTCTATGTAATCTACTAGAGAAGGATGTGTCATTTCACTTTTATGATGAGTGCTTAAATGCCTTTAATAATTTGAAAGAAAAGTTAACTTTTGCACCTGTGATAGTAGCACCTGATTGGGATCTTCCTTTCAAACTTATGTGTGATGCTAGTGAGTTTGTATTGGAGAGGTGCTTGGCCAACGTAAGGGAAAAGTGTTACATGTCATCTATTATGCCAGCAAAATCTTGACAAATGCTTAGATCAACTAGCAACAACGGAGAAAGAAATGCTAGCAGTGGTCTTTGCCTTCAATAAATTTCGTCCCTATCTGATTGGTTCAAGGGTGATAGTCTACACTGACCATACAGTCTTGAAATATCTATTTGAGAAGAAGGATGCTAAATCTAGGCTAATACGATGGGTTCTGTTGCTGCAAGAATTTGACATCCAGATTCATGATAAAAAAAAGGAACAAAAAATTAGGTAGCAGATCATTTATCAAGGCTAGAGCAATTGCAGGATTCAGAGGACATGGATATTAATGAGGTCTTCCCAGATGAACAGTTATTACAGATAGAAAAGGCTCTATAGTGTGCAGACATTGTTAATTATTTAGCTAGTGGCTATATGGATCCTGATCTCACTTATCAGCAAAAAAAAAAAAAGCTGCTTCATGAAGCAAAATTCTATTATTAGGATGATCCAAATTTATATAGGAGAGGGGAAGACCAGATCATTAGGAGATGTATGCCAGAGGATGATATGAAATCAATCCTTTCACGGGTTCATGCTCCGATTTATGGAGGACAGTCTGGCCCCACTAAAACAGCAGCAAAGGTGCTTCAATGTGGTTTTTTTCCCTACACTGTTCAAAGGCTGCTACAGTTTCTATAGGTCATGTGATAAGTGTCAGAGAATAGGTAATATATCAGCACATCACGAGTGCCACTTATCAAAATTTTGGAGGTAGAAATATTCGATGTCTAGGGTTGATTTTATGGGTCTTTTTTCATTATCTTACGGCAATAGATACATCCTAGCGGTAGTGGAATATGTCTCTAAATGGGTGGAAGCTAAAGCATTATCTTCAATGATGCAAGGATAGTGGTAGATTTCATAAAAAACACATTTTTAACCGTTATGGATCACCTAAGGCCATAATAAGTAATAGTGGAACTCACTTCTGCAATCGGTTATTCCAGGCAGTGCTGCATAAGTACGGGGTACAACATTGAATTGCCACTCTTTACCATCCTCAGACAAGTGGACAGGTGAAAACCTCAAACAGATAATTGAAAAGAATTCAGAAGCTCACTGTGAATGCATCTTGCAAGGATTGGTTAATGAAATTGGACGATACTTTATGGGCGTATCGCACTGCTTACAAGACACCTATTGAAATGTCCCCATAGTGACTAGTCTTTGGAAAAGCATGTCACCTACTAGTGGAGTTTGAGCACAGCGCGTATTGGGCATTGAAGTAATTAAACATGGATCTTGAGAAAGCTAGAGAAACAAAAATATTCCAGTTACATGAATTGGAGGAATTCAGAAGAGAAGCATATGAGAATGCAGCTATCTACAAGGAAATGATGAAGCAGTGGCATGACAAAAATAGTAGGCAACGAATTTTCAGAGTGGGAGATCAAGTCCTCTTATACAACTTCAGACTTAAGCTCTTCCCAGGAAAATTGAAATCTAGATGGCCTGACCCTTTTACTGTCTCTCAGGTGTTTTCCCTATGGTACAGTTGAACTACACCATCCAACAAAAGGAAATTTCAAAGTAAATGGCCAACATATCAAGCACTACATGGATGATTTTCCCATCGCTAAAGAAATCCTTGACCTGTTTGTACCAGAATAATCGCGGCACTAAGTCAAGCTAATGACTTTAAAGAAGCATTTATTGAAAGGCAACCCAATTTTTAAACTTTTTATTTTGCTTTTCATATCCCATAATATATAGTTTTGTTTTGTTTACTAGGTTGTATTAGATTTAAGAACGTTTCAACTTTTAGGAGTCATCATCCATACCCCTTCTTCTCTCAGGCACCTTGAATTTATTGTTGGTTATTTAGATTGTTTGAACTAAGTAACCCTTGTTCACTATATTTAATTTGTTAAATTTGATTTTTCAGGAACATGGCGTCGTGAAACACTCAAACCAACATAGATCCAAGGAAAGTATGATGAAGAATATTATCCACCCGTCACACATAGTGCCTCACACATTCAATAGAAAGATTTGGGGAGTACCTTCTTCTTTTTCTTCCCTACACCCTTTATGTGCTTATTTATACTTTATGACATTGAGGAAAATGTCAATTTTAAGTTTGGGGGTAACAAAACTTTTAGTTTTTATTTTTTGTATGTTTTTATGTTTTTGCGTGTTTGTTTTAAAAAAAGGAAAAATTGAATTATTTTTTTAAAAAAAAAATCTCTTTTGTTCAGTTGTGTGCTTGTGTGAGTTAGACAGTCTGGCAGACAATGACAATTCAATTTGAAATTTGGTATTGATTTATGAACTGTGTATATGATGTACAGTAGACTAATTGAAGCTCAACCTTGTGAAATTTGATAGTACAAGCGCACTAGAATTGAGTTTGATATTGTGATTAAATGAGTTATTTCTTGCTTTTGATAGGTTGATCTAGTTGAATATAGATGCTATACCTAAACCATATTAAATTATCTATCTTTAGATCAAGTCTAGAACACTTTGGGGATGACTTTATAGTTGTAGGAAAATGCGAATGTGAATATGGATTCCATGTGTAAAAATTTATGTGTGGATTGTCATAGACTAACATGATAAAACTCGGCGAAAGCCTTAAGTTGGAGGTCGGTTTGTTTGAATAAGTGTGTGATAAGTGGTATTGTACTAATCAAGGCATATACATTTGAAAATTTTAAGCTTCTCTTGGAAGCCTTTATGACTCTAGTGATTGAATTTTAAGGGTATCTTAAAACCTAGTGCCTTAAAGTTTTCTGATTTGGGAGTCATCGACCTGAAACTCACTACAGAGTTCATCTAGAAAGCTTAATAGAGATAAAGTTGCACTTGAAAATAATAATAATAATAATAATAATAATAATAACACTTGTGAAAAATAGAAAATGCGAGTGCATGAAAAGAGCAAAAGCACGAAATAACTTGGTTAAGCCCTAACACTTATTTGAAGGAATTTGACTTTTTATGCAAGATAATTAGCTAGTTGAGTCTTGGAAGTCGAAGCAATCAAATAATTGGAGAATCCCTGTTCACTGAAGTGTTGACTTCCAAGTAGTAATGTCCATCTAAACTCGAGAGGGTGAGGATAATAATGAAATATTCAGCCTTAGATTACATACTAGAAAAACAGTGAAAAATAATAAGTTTGGGGGTGTGTGGATCTTACCAGTGAGGTAAGGATAATTTGACCGTAGAAGGTTAGTGATTGAAACAACTTGCGCAGTCATGGTTGATTACTTGATTCTTCACACACACACATGTTGATTTTGCACTGGAAGAGTGGATATTGATTTAGTATTGTGACTTTAGCATATTTATAGAATAAACACTAATATCTTGAATCATGAGGTAAAGAGCTAAACTGTCCAACAAAATGTTTTTGTAAGGTTGTGTGTATATTATTATTTAGGTTATAGTTTTGTTTGAAGACAAATAAATATTTAAGTTTTGGGGTATTTGATAAGTGTATTTTATACAATTACGTAGAGATTCTTGTTTAGATCACATATTAAAATCTGGTAAATTAATATGACGTGTAGAGATACTTATATTAATTGTTGTGGTCCTATAGAAATTCTTAGAACTGTTATTTCATTTAATTAAATTTAATTTGCATAGTGATATGGAATTTAACTAATTAAATAGGCTCAACAAGAACTCGAGAGGGGTAAGTTGAATCAATAGAAGAATTCGACTGAACACTATAATTTTATGAATCTCGATATTATAAGTAAAGATGACCAATAGGTGAATTTGTTCCGCCGAAATATCTATTTGTTACTTGAATTCTCACTAATTTTTTGTTGCATTCACGAAATTTTTAGTAGTTAGATTTAAAAATCACAGTCAATCATTTTTTTTTTGTCAAATAGAAGTCAGAAATAATAAATTGATTATTAAAGTATAGTTCTTGTGGGAACGATAATTCGAATTCAAAAGGTCCACTTTACTACTTGTTACGATCCGTTCACTTGCGGGTATAACTTGAGAGGCGAATTTTAGATATCTAAGCTCCCCAATCAATGCCTTCTAGTAGTCATCACCTAGCTTACATGTAAATCTACTAAGCTTGTTGACCACATCAGTAAACGCATGTAATTTATTATGCACATTAGACTACCTATGATTTCAAAGATTCCAATCGAGGTATGAGTTTGCCTTTACTCTTGGCTAAATGTA